CCCAGAGTATCAAACATATAAGTGTCCTACCTAACCAATATTCACACTGTTTCGCTGCAGTGTCGGATATCTATTGATAATCTACTGATTGATCATTTAGGGATTGATTCTCCCATCAAGCACTTAAGTTAAAAAAGCACTTAAAAAGTTACACAAGTTTGAGTTAAGCATATTCTCCCCTCATCAGCGTGGATAGGCCCTACTGCACTTAAACAGAAAAAGTTGTGTATGGAGTCATAGGAGTGCTGTAAAAAAGAAGAAGCCGGTAAAAGAATAAAAAAATACATCTTGAGTAAGAAAGTAGAACAAATAAAAAGAAAAGAATAAGATAATAAATGCTTTTCTTTATTGCTTTTGGTATTCCTCAAAGGGCCAAGCTGTCAATCAACTGGCTTTGGGCGGGCCTTCCCACTGGAACACGCCCCCTCAGATGGAGCGAGTGGCAAAACATGCTACGACACGGCTGGTTTTAGTCAAGGAAACTGTGAAACAAACTATTAGTTGCTTAAATTAAAGGCAGATGGACAACTTCCCAAAGGAAAAGTGGACCATGGACATTGATATATGGCCTGCAAGCAGGTTTCCTGACAAAATATTTCCCAGGGTTGCCAACTTTGATCAGCTGGCTGGAGTGAGATTTTCAAATTGAGACGAGTCTGCATACACATTTACATGTGTAAGAGTTTTATTACCTTGTAAGTAATCTGTTGGGTTTGCAAACAACCCCAACACTTCTGATGTAGCTAATTTTAGGTTTATAATGGAATAATATAGATTTGCCGTAAGATTTCTCGCGTGAGTCTGAAAGTGTGAGTGTCACACCAGATGCATGAGTTAACTGTCTAAACTTTTTTTTGTGGAATAGCTCCTTGTAAGGAAAACTGGGTTTACCACGGCTAGGTGACACTTTTCAATAATAAAAGATCTCGAATAAATGTATAGCTGAATTCCCTAAATTTTAACTATGTTTGTACCAAACTTTTGTCTGAAGAGGCCCTAACTGGATTACAATTAGCAAGGATGCTAATAGCCAGCTCACCTGCTCCCTGTCTGCCTGATTCTCTGGGCCTTCTTAGACAGTGAACTGAGGAAGAGATGGCAAGGAAGACACTGCAAGCAATCCTTGTTTTTTTCCTCTCAGCCTGGGTTTCTCCTGTTTGTGGTTTATTCCCGTTCCAGAGCGCTAAGCCTCTCCAGCTCCTCCTAGCCATTAGCCACATCAGGCACCCCAGTGTGTGTCTCACAGATGCTCCTGCATAGTGGCTCGGGTTGGGGTACTGGTGCCTTGCTGGAGCTGTGATTATTCAACATACTGTACTAAATAGGCTACAAAAGGTCCAGCAAACAGACAGAAAGCCCCTTTATATTTAGGTGATCAGTGTTGACACACCACAGTACACAACAATGAAATATGTCTTCTGCATTTAACCCATATGTGACATAGCAGGGGGCATCTAATTCAGTTCCCAGGGAGCAGTACCTTGCTCAGGGTACCTCAGTGGTGCCTTGTTGGTCGGGGACTGGAACAGCAATCTTTCAATCACACATGCATTTCCCTAACCATCATGCCACACTGCCCACCAGGCAAGACTTTTGGTGCCCAGGCCTGTCTTTTGACTTTTCTGTTTGGTATTTGTAATCAAAAATTCCAGATCATGTCAGTATCTCCCCAGGTGCACCTGAAATGTAACAAATGGCAGCGAAGAGAGTTGAAGGTAGGGAGTCAACCAGAAGGTTACTGGTCGAGGCCCTTGGAGGCTCCTGTGAGGTAAAAGTATATGACATGATTTGTTCCAGTGAAGTGTCTGGTTGTATGACTGGGCAAAGGGGAGAAACCATATTATATGCATGATGCTTTTGTGAAATGCTGCCGATAAACCTTGTCATAATATAAAGAGCTGCTGGAAGGCTTTTCATTAGACTCGGTAAGATTAAACCAAGTGCTGGGCTCTGCACTTTACTAATGCTGTATGAGCAGAGAAACAAGAAGCATGCTTGGAGATGCCCTTCAGACAGGAGCGTGTGCTGTCTATGCGTCTGCTCCATTGTTTATTCCACAGCTATAATTATATTTATAGATTAACACAACACTGAAGAAGGATCTGTGCCTTGGAAGCCAGTACCATTCCTGATCCAGCTAAATCCCGGCGATCCCTAAGATCATTACGTAATAGGCACCATCAAATGCATACTCTTAGCCATGGGCCATTTTTATGTAATTATTTTTAATTTTGGTCAAAATGCATGACTCAACATAGGAGGCCACGCTACATAAAGTGAAAAGACAGCAATGAGGCTTGCAATGGAAACCATGCCCATTGGTTCTGCGGTCTGCATATCAGTGTTTTGTCATGAAATATCTGGGTTTAGTATGTCTGATACATGCTGAATCACCCCATGGACGTCGCAAGTTTAGCAGAAGAAGCAGAAAGCAGAGGCGCTGAGCACCCTACTTTATGACATCACGTCTGGTCACATGGTGAGCAGTTATGACATCACGTCTGGTCACATGGTGAGCAGGCACAGCTGTGTGGCCTATGAGGGGGGAGGGCTGGGGTTCCCTGTGTTTCTGAGTCAGGAAAACAGTTCCCTTTGCCCCGTCTACTTTTGTAAGACAACCCAACTCCCCTTTTAAAAGGTAGCCAGCTTTTTCTCATTTTATGAATGTAACATTTTATGGGATTCAATCTCATGTATGATAATTATATTGGTGCTGTAAAGTGCAAAACTACTATTACTGCCTTCAGCTGCACTTAGGGATGCAGATGTTTAGGAGGATATCAATACCACAGGTGCAGACATACACAGCTGGTGTTCTTACGGACTAACATTTGGACTAACATTAACCAGTTTCCCTGTTAGACAATAATCAGCCAGTTTGAGTCCAAAAGCTTAAGTGAGTTTAAATAATTTGCAGATGCAGATTTTTTGGAAAAAAATATCACCGCTGGGTCTTCTACATGATCCAAAGTGTTTTATTTTTTACTTTTGGAGGGGAACTATCTGTGCGGTAACATGTTTTTGTTTCATTGATCAGAGCTGGCAGTACAGCCAATGTACACGGTGCCCTGTAGGAAGCTGTCGCTGCTGAGTAACCCTGCTGTGTTTGCATGTAACCCGAAGGTGGGCTGTCCTGGGTCTGCGCCAAGTGTAACACTTGGCGATTTTGACTAAAAAGATTCAATTGAAACCCGTCTGACCACAATGCCTCTTTGCCACATTTTTGCAAGATCACGCAGCTGCTTTGCCGCAAATGCCAGGCCACTTTCAAAACGGTCTATTTTCAGCAATGGCCTTTCTGCTGGAGGCTCTGCCATACGGGCTGGTGTCCTGAAGAGTTCTGAATCTCTCTGACTGGTGCGCATTTCATCTCATGTCATCTGTCGCATCGCAGGCAGCAGGCGGAGGAATCAGCAGAGATTTTGAAAGCGACGCAGCAGAAAAAGGAGCAGAGAAGCTGCCAGTGTTCACCCAGGGGCAGAAGCTCCATTCCGTATAAACAGCAGCAAAAAATGTACCATCGGAGGACCAGTTGGAGGCGCAGTTGTTAGCAAACTGAAAACCACAGGGACATAGAATATAAATGTGCATTATTCTTTGTATAATACAGTCTAATTAGGCCAGGTAATGCCTATTATTATTATTATTGTTATTAATGTAGATACCAATATCAGTGATAGGGTATTTCATACAGGCATATTCCTATAGGATACAATTTCTGCAGAAGTGACACGTAATATGTTCTCCAGCCACGGACCATGGATGGGCATGTATGTGTCTGTACAGTAAGCATTACTGATTTATTTGCGTTGCTGGTGTATTAAAAGGAGCTTGTGGTCAGCCCTCTGCCTGTCAGGCTTTGCTGAGCTGAGAGCTGCTCTGTGGTCAGAACGGGGTATTTCTGGATCCCCACCAGTAATTATCTGGTCCCACCCAGGGCAGACCCATGCACCTCCCAAAACCAGCAGACCTAAATAGGGCCACAGGGTCCCCTAGCTGCATGCAGAGACACATCCAGCCACCCCAGGGGCTGCACCCGGCCAAGTTCACCTCTGGGGGTGTGTCCAGACCTTCTCCCCAGGCATTCAGGAACAGGAAATAGTGGAGAAGAAATAACCAGGCTCCTGCCTCCACTGAAACACTGAAATGTGCTGCAGTGTATCGGTAGATGAGCTGAAATGCCACTGTTGTGCATGTGCTGTGACATTTCAGTGGCAGTGACTGTCCGCTACATCACGAGCTCAATTTGCACATTTTGCTATGTTCCTACATTTTATTATGTTATTGGGTTTTTCAATTATTATTTTATGCTTGTGACATTACTAGAAAGAGTATTACACTACAACTGCTACTCTGTGCTAGACGCTGGGTTGAGGGATGGCATTCTACTGGTGTTTATGGCTGTGTTCAATGGTTCATTTATAGGTCGCTGAATAAGAGTGAACCTTGCAAAAAATGCATTTAATGTGCAAGGAAGTGGCCAATCATGGAACATACCATGAGTAATCGTTTCTGACTTTTTTGCAGTTTATTTGTTCATAGAAAATAATCTGCCAATTTCAATAAAGTCTTATACTGTATATCATATAAGTATACAGCCAGGCTCATCCTGTCACTGCTAGAAGGAGCAAGCTTTCACCTACCTGCAGACCAGCTTTACCTGTGTGTAGGACAGAGACAGGCTGGTAAGTGACTCAGAAAAAGTGGGGTTTCCGTCAGCAGCTGTCAGGGTGCAATTAAAGCCATCGTGATGCCACCTCTTTGCTTTTAAAGCTAATGAAATGGCGTCATGACACATATTGTCATCAGCTATAATGGTGCCCACAGCGCCCAGCTAATCTACACCCACGCTTAATTGTTTGTGAAAACGCAGTCCTCTTTCTCCCGATTACTATCAATCACAGGGCGTGAGAATCGTGGTAAAACTGAGCAATGTGCCAGCAAGGGAGACACATTTTATCTGAATACAAATCAGTCTCACAAGCAAGTTTTTACACTCATGGAATATATATCACTTTTAATTACAACAGCAGATATACACTTTTCTGTTACTAGTTGTATGTATTTAGTGTTTTTCAGTGACAAGCATAGATTTACTGAATCAAGCATACCATTTGATTATAATACACACAGCATAGAATGGATCTATACATTTTACAGTTAAACCACATAACAACCTAAGCATTTAGGCCGATGTTATACGTAGTTTACAGGATAACAAAGCTTATGCCAATGTCTTCCAAGCAATTCAGAAGCAGAAAGAGCCAACTGTAAATAATAATTACAACAAACTGTGGATGAACAAAATATTATGACGTGATTAAGCTGATGACAGCAATTACATCCGAGTCTGAATCTGACTACAGCTGCCTCTTTTCAGCAAAGATCCCTGTAAATTATCACCTCATAAAACTGTAGTTATGACATGTGCAAAACAGACATATGGCAACTAGAAAGGTCTGTGTACAAATGAAACGTAAGTGTGGAATACTTCATGTCTTAATTACCTCTTCATTTCACATGCAAACATCGCCAGTGTGAAAGCAATGTCAGGTGGCCTGTAATTACATAAGTGCTTATCACAAACATGGATACTCGCCTGTGAAACCAGAACTGACTTATACATTTTCATATCTGCATGACCTCGCTGTTATTCAAGCCCCGCCTTTTTATTGTAGTTTAGAGCACTGATTGGTCAGTCTGACCATTTGACCTGTCTGGCTTTTCCTATTTGCTGGATATATGTTGGACCCTCGCTTCTTCTTCTGTGTTCTCCAGCTCCATATTCCCCATTGAGTATGTTCTATTTATTCTGCTATTGGTACCCCTGCAGCATTAACTGCCAATGGCAGCCTCTCCCCACATGTGTGCTGTCAGCTATCCTCTCTCGCGTTCCTCTGTAGTCTCCCTCAGCAGACATAGCCTGCTTGGATAGAGCCCCATTAGCTCACTGCCACCCACAGCTCTACAGTCTCCCATCTGACAGTAAACATCACTGCAGGGCACTGGAATGGCCAGGAACTCAATCCTCCAAACCATCAAAGGACTGGTGTACTTTCCCTGGGCCTACACTCTTGCCTAGCATGGCACTAGATAGGCCACTAAACCAGGATTCCTGCACGTTGATTTGACCAACGGGGATTGGGCATGACACCATTTACTGACATATGCATGGAACTTATTGGAATTTGTCTAATGAGCACATGATCTCTAGACCAACACGCTGGTTTCCATGGCGGCGGCATAGTGGCTCAGTGGGTAGCCCTGTTACCTCACTCCTCCTGGCTCTTTGGCTATGGATCCCGCCTCTGCTTTGTGTGTGTGTGGAGTGTTCTCCCCATGATCCTTCTGTTGTCAAAATTGGACAAAATTTCCCCGTGAGTATTACTGTGTGTTTGTATTTATCATGTACCTTGTTATTCTAAAGGGTATACTGTAGCCTTGTGCCCTCAACCCTAGACCCTCCACAAACCTATCTAAGATAAGCAGTTAGAAAATGGATGCAATTTCACCAGGAAAATTCTTAGATAAGTGTTCCTTAAATTCCCTTAAATTATGTATGAATACTATTCAGTTACAGACTTACATACTATCTGACATACTGCAGGTCAGCTTGGAAGACTAAAGACCCTACAGAGGTGTTGGTGAATGTGAACACACACGACGGTCAGTGTGACCACAGGTTCAGCACCAATCATTTCAGAGAATGTACCGTGTGCCCACTCCGTAAACGCCGCCCACAGTCAGTGTGGTACCCAGAGGAAAAAAGCAGGACAGCCAGGAGATCCTGGCACTGCCACTGAGTTTGTTAGAAGTCTCCTTTGATGGTGGCCTTCAGAACCACTTTGACAAACGTGGTTCCTCTGCTGGTTTTTTCTCTGACAGCACTGCTCAGCATGCACAACAAACTTTCATGAGTGCTGTTTGGAAAGGGTGGATGCCCTGTGTTTATTTCCAGTCCCATGAGTGAAATCATTCACCATTCATCTCCAAGGAAACTTATGTGCAGACTTACTATGAATTTCTCTCGGCAATTGTTTTTGTGCAAGCGTGGCAGGTGGGGTGACGTAGTGCCCTCTAGCTGCTGATCTTGGTGAGCATCTTGTTGATGGCCTGCTTGACGTGGGTGGTGGAGCTGCGGCGACGGGCCTTGCCCTGCACCATGCGGCGGCGCCGCACCTCCCGGCACAGCTCCAGGAAGGCCTCGCTGACAGAGCCCTCGCCCGTGCAGGCCGAGCACTCGTAGAAGCCGCAGGACAGCTCAGCCGCCAGCCGCTCGCCCTCCTCCGTGCTCACCTGCCGGGCGTGTTCCAGGTCGGCCTTGTTGCCCACCAGCATCATGGTCAACTGCTTGGGCTTCTTCGCCTCCTCCAGGAGGCTCTTGAGTGGCAAGACCTCCTCGAAGCTGCCACGGTCAGTGATGTCATACACAATGACGAAGCCATCTCCCCAGCGCATGTGGCCCTCCCTCTGCAGCATCTCCTCCTTCGGGGGGGGGGGGGGGGGGGAGTATCCAATAAATCCATATTCAGGTTTGTTATCACGCTATAAACATTTCCAGGAAATTACCCTGTTGTCACTGGTGAATAAAAATTGACAAACAATAATAGCATATTGACCAATAAGTGAAGAATGTATGACATCTTTACTACTGACCAATAACCACCATCTTGGAACTTTTGTAGTAAAAAAAATGCCATGGTTTCCATCCAGACAAAAGTTCTAGTTTGAGTTACACTCAACTCTCTTAATTGTAATCTTAAATCAGAGTTACAGAGTTAATGATGGCTATAAATGAATAAAGAATGACTTTCTCAGTGTCAGCAGGAGAACTAGCTCACAGAACTAGCTATATGATCTTCAGCAAGGGTTTGCCCCAGTTGGACAGCTGAGCATAGAAAAATCTTAGCCAAGCACCTAAAGCCTGTTCTGGCCCACCTGTCCAGCCGTGTCCAAGATCTCCATGGTTACAGATTCATCATCAATAACAGCTTGATGACGGTAGGTTGACTCTAAGAAACAGGGAATAACCATTAATAAGACCACAGTAACACAGGTTCAAAATCACATAAAATACCTTGTTAATTCTACTGACCTTGATAATTCTACTGCTTACCCGTCTATCAGTGCTTACCACCTTTTGACCTGATTCTTATGCACAATCTACAGTAAGTCCATCGGGATGGAAGCTGTTGATATCCTGAGTTTACTCACAGTGCTGTGTTAAAGGGCCATCGGGCTGTCTGTACATCTGCTCTTGTCTCCCTTAATGCTGTAAAATCGGTCACTGAGAGTATGCGATTTCATAGAAGCCCGTCGAGAGAGGCCCAGATGAGGTTAGATGAGAAGAAAATGCACGGCAGTGTCGCTATTCGCGACATAGCTAAGCATAACAATAAGCTTTACACATAAGCTTCACACATTCTTCCTGTGGTTTGGGTTCACATGTTTTTAATTCACTGGCATCAAAGCGCAATTTCTTCTGAGTTTTACAAGCTAAACAAAACAAGGCTGCTCTTGATACCAGGAAGCTGAGGCGAGACAGAAATGCTGATCTTCAGAGGCAGGGGTTAATGTTTTACAGCAGCGAGTAAAATTGGGGCAGACAATCCATCTCGTCTGCCTGGCTACATTTGCCAAGAAATATGTGTACTCTTTAAAAAGTGCTAGGTGCTTGGTTTTTTATTTAATGGACCAAACCAATAACAGTGTCAACACATAGGGTGTAAGTAGTTACAAGTTCAGTATGTGAAAATGTGACGAATAATTCAGTTGGATAATTCAGGTCCAGAGAGTAAAAGTCCAGACCGAGATTTTGTTTCAACCAACCAGTTGAACATATGGAGTCACAGTCACAGAGTACTCAACTGGTTGGTTGAAACAAAATCTTGGTCTGGACGTTTATTCTTTGGACCTGAATTACCCAACTCTGAATTTAAGTTACAAAAATTTGAAGCCTTTTCTTCCACTGTGATGTTAAATTCAGCTTGCCTTGTTTACAATGCTTCAACCAAATTTGCTTCACCCCAAGAGCCTGTTTATCTGGTTGATATTCTCAGAGTGATGCCGCCGCTAGGCCTGTGGAGGCTCAGAGTGATGCCGCCGCTAGGCCTGTGGAGGCTCAGAGTGATGCCGCCGCTAGGCCTGTGGAGGCTCAGAGTGATGCCGCCGCTTGGCCTGTGGAGGCTCAGAGTGATGCTGCTGCTAGGCACATGCACATCCTGAGAGTCCCAATACCAATCAACACTCTCCTTACCGAGTGTAGGGTCATATTCCCAGATGAACCTCTTGGTCAGAAACCTCACCACGAGAGCTGTAGACAAAGATTGAGACATGTCAGACAGAGAGGAAATCTGCTGTAAGCACCAAATTCACATCTACACCCAATGACGTATTTTTCTTACAGCGGATTGGACAGCCCAACATCTGTTTCGATTTGGCTTAATGTTATGACAGCTATGCCTTATGTTATGAGATCAGCATCTAGCCACATCTTCTACAAAGCAAGGGCAAAGGGTCCTTTGATATCAACCAACCAGCACACATGGAGTGATGATAACTCCCTATATCACATTTTGATGCTTTCTTTCCAACTAAAGTGATGTTCCTGTGTGTGACTGTAAGTCAGGGAAACTTAGCCCATATGTCATGCAACTTGGAGGTAGACAAATTCAAAACTTCATCTATGTTCTTGTCCAAAATTAAACATACAGTACTTAAAGCTTTTGCCCCATAGGTAGGAATTTTCTGTTTGATGAATATTTACAAATTTGGAACAATTCCAGCTGACAAAAGATACTGCACTTAATAAATATACCGATATTTTATTAATATACTGTATACATTGACTCAACCACTGATGATAAAGGTTTACATTATGCATCTACAAAGTTAGGAAGTCACAAAGAAATCGTAGGGATAGCATCTGCCGTTTCTGTTGTTTTTTGTATTTCCAAATATTACGACAAATGTATATTATTAGTTTCTGTGGTGGATAGTTCCAGTCCAGAAAGTAAAAATCCAGGCCAAGATCCACCTCTGATTATTAATATTAACCCCCTATTTGTTGCCAGGTGTGAGTATTCACCCTTAAAAACTGTGAGCATGCACTGCTATACACTGCTCCACACTAACCTTAATGTACTCCATACTTCCTGATTTCACCATCATACAAACTGGTCTGTCCCTGTGACCTTTGCACCCACACTAGCCCATCTGTAAAAGTGTTGGTTTATTTAGTATTTATTCTGCTTCTATCTATCCTCAGTAATACAGTGAATAATAAATTATTTACATAGTTTAGCTAAAGAAATGGCCTTTATTAATACAAATGATTGCTCTACCAATGAATAGTTAATAGATACTTTTTCTCCATGGGGAAGCTCAATTTTTGCCCCCATTTCGCTTTTTGTAGGTGAGAGCAAGCTGGCAGTGAAGGGCAGCCAACCATAGCAGCACCCAGGAAGATGGGGGTTAAGGGTCTTGTTCAAGGGCCTACGGATGTACTAAGGCTGGCCTTGAACCAGCAGCCTTCTGATCACGGGTGCAGAGAGTCAAGACTGGTTCATACTTCTCCGTACATGCAACACTCACACATCCGCACTTCACATTCAGACATGGAAACGGTCATACTTCTCCAGTAAAGCCGCTTGTCGTAGAAGATATAAATTGAGAGCATGTGTATGTTGCGTACTTGCTGCATCACACCAATATGGACATCGAGGAGGAAGAGCTTGCACATGCACAGTGTGTCCAGAGCTGCACGTACACCGTCCGTGCGTAGACAAAATTTGGAGTGTAGCATGTGTTCATCCAAGGAGACGCATGATGATACAAAATGTGTTGCAAAAGTCCACATGGACACGCCCACATGTACGCATGCGGAGAAGAGGGAATCAGCCTTTAGCCCACGGAGCCCCCACACGATGCCCCCAATACAAGGCTGTCTATTGTGCCAAGGGGCTCAAGAATGATCAGGTCATTTTAAAAACATTTTAGCCAACATTTCTAAAGTTTGCTTCACTGAAATGTCCATTAGGTTCGGTTTTCTAGGTCAATGTAATTCAGGGATCATTACATCTACTGGGATAAGATAAGCAGTTGCAAGCATGAATGCATCAGTTGCCCACAGCTGTTTTTTGTGGCATAATTGCAGGTGGTGAGAAGCCTTCTGTTTTATAAGGTAATGTTTCTGAAACTATATTCTGGAAGACAGTATTTATATATCAGAGTAATTAAGACGTTAATGACATCCTAAATCACTGTCTGGCTGAAGGTGAAAACAGTTACTGTTAGTGGAGAGATTTTACATTTTAGAGAACGTCCCACTGATACAAGCTCACATATGCACAAGTACACAGACTTGGGACAGGTAGTGACTGCCAGGACATTAACCTGAAGGAAGGCCAGGTTTCCTGCTAAACAGCCAAGACTCCTTCATGAGACAGATTTACAAGCTGAGCTTCCCCCTCAGAGCAGGTCTGGCGTTACTGAGTGCTACCCCAGACAGATAATACAGCAACATCAAGGCCAAAGATTATAGTATATTTTTTTGTATTCTGTGGAACTATTTGACCAATTAAACATTGCAGAGTGACATACCCCATAGCTGCATTACCATCAACAAACTCCATTCATCCAATTTCTGGTCCTATTCAGAGTCGTGGGGGGGCCCGGAGCCCATGAGTACAAGGCAGGGAACAACCCAGGACAAGACACCAACCCATCGCAGGGCACACTCACACACCATCCATCCATCCATCCATTCATTATCTCCTGCTTATCTGAGGTCGGGTCGCGGGGGCAGTAGTCTCAGCAGGGAAACCCAGACTTCCCTCTCCCCGGCCACTTCATCCAGCACCTCTGGGGGAATCTAGAGACGTTCCCAGGCCAGCCGAGAGACAGAGTCCAGCGTGTCCTGGGTCTTCCCCGGGGCCTACTCCCAGTGGGACATAGCTCACATCGCACCCAACCCCTATGGCCCCTCCTATAGGTGGTGAGCCCATTGGAGGGGGGACCCACGTGCCTTGTTCGGGCTGTGCCCGACCAGGCCCCATGAGTGCAGGCCTGGGCACCAGGCGCTCGCCATCGAGCCCCACCCCCAGGCCTGGCTCCAGGGGGGGGGCCCGGTGACCCGCGTCCAGGCAAGGAAAACCGTGGTTCCACTATTTTATGCATCATTAGGGGTCTTATGAGCCGCACTTCATCTGGTTCCTCACCCCGGACCTGTTTGCCTTGGGTGACCCTACCAGGGGCATAAAGCCCCGGGCAACTTAGCTCCTGGGATCATTGGAACACGTAAACCCCTCCACCACGATAAGGTGACGGCTCCAGGTATCACTCACATATGCAGCCCTATGGGCAATTTGGTAACTCCAATTAAGCTCATCATGTTTTGGACAGTAGGGGGACACCAGAGTACCCAGAGGAAACCCTATGATGACACATTGAGAACATGCAAATGCCACACACATGGAGCCACGATGGAGACTCGAATCCAGGTCCTACTGGTGTGTGGCAACATCACTAACCACAGTGCCACCCCATCAACAAACTCATTTGGTTAATTAATTTGCTTTAAGCCAACACATCTCAGCTACTTAGATAAGTAGTTTTGAAGTCAAATGAAATTGAATGTCTGCCTTAATTTAGTCCCCTGATCATAATAGCTTTGCTCTTACTATAGGAACAAACAGCTTAGTTTTGATTCTCAGTCATCTTCATGAGCTCCTATCCAAGTAACACCCCAAAAAAATCTTACTGGCATGAGATTGTAAGTGTAATTGTAGACAGAATTAAAATATCACAAATACATGGTCATGCAGTGGTTAGCACTGTCACCTCATATCTCTGGGACCAGGGTTCAAGGTTCAGCCGTGACTCCATGTGTATGGAATTTGCATGTTCTCCCTGTGGGGTTTCCTCTGGTTACTCTGGTTTCCCCCCACAGTCCGAAAACCATGCTGAAGTTGGATAAAGCTACCATAGGTGTGAGTTTGCTCTGCCCTGTGATGGGTTGGTGCCCCATCCTGAGATGTTCCCTGCCTTCTGCCCATCGCCTGTAGGACTCGCTCTGGACCCCCAGTGACCCTGGATGGATGGATAAAATGCTATCTACAAGAATGCATTTAGTCCAAAATGACACAGAAGTGAGAAAAGGGTCAGAGAACAGTGTGAACCAGTGTTCTTGAAGCAGTTGGGATTTAAGGCTTAGGCAGAAGGGGTCAAAGAGCCTATGTCCTATGCGTGACCCTCTCCTCTGCAGGTACTTAACATTACCAGACTTAACTATTCCAGTAAAAAAAAAACAAGGAAATAAAACCATGACAAAGGTCATTACTGGCAAGGAAAGGATTTATTATGGTGGATTTTCCTTTCCTGAGAAAGAATGTAAATAGGTCAAAATTGAGGATATCTCATAACCAGGACTGATGAAAACAAAATAATCAAAGGCAGGGATAGAGTTTCGGGGCCCAACATGTAATCAATGTCCAAGGAGGCTACAGTACATCTCAGTTCTCATCCGTTATTGGCTGAAACAAAAAGGACCTATCAATTTATACACTGTGCTGAGAAAAGAGGAGCCGGTGAAGCTAATCAATAGGAATAATGCGGCCTCTCCAGAAAGGCCAGAGGACAAGCATGTGTCTTCCCATTTCTTTTTATTAAAATCTCTGATGCTCTTAAAATCACATAAAAGAGAAATAACTTAATCCATAACATATTCTGTATATCATCATTGCTGTCACACAACCAACGGCGCGGCAGCTGAATCTTGTTTTTGTTGGGTGGATCTCCAGGGATATTAAAATGGTTTTATTCCCTCTACAAGTGGTTACTAAATAAAGGGGAAGATATTCTCTCAATGATCAATACCTTAAGGGTTGTGAGTTCGATTACTGCCATCATTTTGTGTTTGTGTGAAGTTTGCATGTTCTGTTCATGCTGCATGACTTTCCTTTGGGTACTTAGGTTTGTTTCCTCAGTTCAAACACATGCTGTTGGTCTAATTAGCAGCTCTAAATTGCCTGTGGAGATAAAGTATATGCCCTGGGAAATGTCTGGGACAGGCTCTAGGTGATTACTAGCAGCTAGCAGAAACAGTTAAGAAGATGGGTAGATAAGGTACATGTAGGGTTAGGTAATCATACTAGACAAAACATACGCCTGGGTCAGTATTTAGTTTATACGCCCATGTCAACAGAAGGTTACATGAATTTCACTTGTTTCACAAAAGACAGATTACAGCACATGGAATCCTCAGGATTCCACAAGCTTTTGATCTCCAGATCTGGACAGCAGAGCAGATTACTT